CATGAAAATAATGTTCACTGCTCTTACCTGTTCTCTATCCGGAAAAAAAAAAGCCGTCGATGGGACCAGCAAAAAGAGATGGAGCTAGTCTCATCACTGGTAATGTAAACAAACCTGGCAGGAACAAGAGGCCGGCAGCCAGGGGGAAGCATGTTAAAACAATATGATCGGCCGCTTGTTAGCTGCCAATCACATCTACTCATGAAATAGGGAAGCCAGGGGCAGAGTTTGGCTGTAGGCTTATGGTCGCTTCATGATCTCACAACTTATGTAAATGTAGCCAACATAAGGGTTACTGAGCCATCCTGCTGCAATCAGTTCTGCTCCTACGTAACCCTTATCTCGGTGGCAGTGAAAGGGTTACATGAAATGTTGCTTACTTGCAAGACTGCATAGAGAGTGCTTGTTTTTTTGGACCACTGGCTCAAAGGTGATAAATCCTGGCATAGGCTGTGGCTAGTGGAAGTCACTGGTAATCCGTAGTGGGAGATGTATATGCAATGAAGGAGGGGCAGTTGGTCTAGTAAAAAGGAAATGGAAATGTCCTATTTACAAGCAAATAGGATTTTATAGTAAATATTGCACCCAGTTGGATAACAAAATGAGTAAATGAGTTTATAATTTTCAAGCTCATCTCATACTTGCAATTTTCACTAGAAATGTACTCATTGATATCGCACTTTAGTTTCCTTTTAAAGTGAACATTTTAAATGTTTAAATGAATAAATAGCATGCCTGAGAGAAGACACTACAAGGTTTCAGTTATTCCTTTTGTTATCTAGAAAACCCTGCTTTGTTAACCTCTCTGAGACAAGTTTCGCTTTCATTTTGGGGCCTGACTTCCTAGACTTCAAGGATAATCCATTTGCACTGCCATTCCTTTATCCGATTAAAGTTTCTAAGTGGCTAATGAGGGCACTGTCATTGAACAGGAGAATTGCAGTTCAAAAGTCAAGTTGTAACAAAGCAAAACTAGTGGAGGTTCACAGAGGCATTTCTGGCTTATAGTGGTAATAGGTGACATCTTGCTGTGTTTTGCGCTTTGGCAGGGCTTATTTTATAACATTTTAACTGAACCCCAGAAAAACATCAAATTACACAGATGGCATACATATAAGGGGGAAATTTTACCTGCCAAAGAATTTGTATTTTGTACTGTTTGATCCTTTTTGATTAGCTTTTCGTAGTACTGGCATACAATACTTAGTAACAGTGATGTCATCTCTTCACCTCCTGTCCCCTTCCTTGAAGAAATAGTAGAAAACCATTGAGGTTATCTTTCTACTCACTCATCCCTCTCCTCCTATGAGCCTGTTCCTTGTCAGCTATTTTGTATGCAGCAAACCTGATTGGCTTCCTAGTGCTGTTCCTCCCTCACCAAGGCTGAACGCTGCTGTACTGGAGATTGCAAAAGACTGTTACTAAGTGAAATACAGAAACTTACACTGGTTGTATTTCAAAAATGTATTCATTGATTTTGAACTACAGAGCTGTCTTTCATATCTGCCTAGAGTTCAGTTTAAAAAGAGCGAAGGCTCCACTTTTAAGGCCTTTGTGTAAAAATGCTGTGTGAGTACTTCTCCCTGTGCCAGTTCAGCGTTTCAGCATTCATTTGCATATGCTCTTCACCAAATCAAAACCCATTTAACCACCACCTCGCTATGTAACATAGCTGTTAATGTATATTTTACAAAAGGAGGATAAAAATACATTACGGCTCGTAGATGTCATCACGTGTCACTTTGAAGGATATACATATTTGTAATTATTCATGTTGAGATGATCTGTGTTTTAATTAATAAACTTGATCATGCACAGTAAAAAGCACAGGCTTGGTAACCAACTGCAAATGTGAGTCTCTTATGATAAGGGCCAGTTCAAGGTCACAGGGGAAGCTGCCCAGAGCATCTATTTGCATATAATATTGCCAGCAGACACACTATGCTCAGGCAGTCTGCCTGTCTGATCTTCTCCTCTTTGTCATGGAGATTCCTGGTAGTGAAGACCAGTTTCCCAGATAATGATTAAGTGTTTTAATAGCATTCATTCCTTCTGGACTAACTACTCAAGCAGAAAAAAGGGTTATGTAAAAATCACATTTAAGAAAAAATGATTTGTAATCTTTGCATCAGCAGCATTTTGAGGAGACATTAGGACTTAAATCCTTGGTGTGGTAGGCTCATGCTTTATCTTCTGATATTTACTGAGTTTACTGATGCATGAACAGTTTCCAGCAACAAAAGCAGATGGGATGGGCCCCTTAAAAGTAATGCTATCTAATGTAATGTTACTTTCTATATATTTATAGTCAAGTAATCTTGGGGATATCTCCCAACAAATAGACATTATTTAAATATGACGCAGAAAAAGTTTATTCATGATCATCCTTTGCACAGAATGCTAAGATCGATTTTCAATAAGAAGGCAAATTTATTTGATAGAGCATATGAAATTCTAGTTTTGAAGCACTGGATTTATTTCACAGTCTGAAAAGCATGTATTGCCAGGCTTTGTGTTCATTTATCTTTTGTCGCTGGTTTTGTGGAAGGCGTCTTTTTTTTTTCTAAATTAGGCCATAAATGGGCATATATTTCATTCATGGGAACTGGAGATCTGAAAACTGCTATCCCTTGTTTGAGATATCTGTATCTCTAAATCCAGTACAGCTATTTTACCCAACTTGTCTTTTTTTTTTTCTTTCCAAACCTTTTGCTTTGGCTATAATCACATGATAACTTTTTTGCCTGTGATTCATGAGAGCTTTTTTTTAGCTTTATGAATGACAGTCTTTAGAGCATTTTCCATTGACTTGGTGATTATGGATTGATAATGAGTTGAGTGAGAATTTTTAATGCTGTAAAATTTAGAAATATTTCCTATGGCAGACATTGATATGCCATTACCCTTCTTCTCTACTAAAAGTCTGGGCAATCCTTAATTTTTTTTCAGAATAAAAATAAGTATTTAAGTTGTGAATGGGTCATTGTCACTTGTTAACCCCTGCACAACATAATTGGTTAGATCAGTGTTATAATTTCTAATAAATTGTATGTACACATTCCCATTTTCCCTGCCCACCATTGCTACCTGCATTTTGCTGCAGGCACCCAGAATTTCCAGTTTGTTGCTCTTTCCTTTGGTCTGTCCATGGCACTCCAGGTTTTTACCAAGGTGTTGGCCCTGGCCCATATCTTGACTCTTTTCAGTCCCAGGGGATCCCCAGATCTACCAGACCTCCTGTCCCAAGAACCAATATTCCACCTTGCTTTTTTGTCACTGACTTTAATGGCATGGCTGTTAAAACTCAGGTCCTAGAGGATAGAGGCATTTAGGACGCGGTCATCCCTACACTCCTAAAAGCTAGGAAATTTACCTTGTGCAATTGCACTTGGAAGGTTTATTTCGCTCGGTGGGAAGCATGGAAGTTCCATCCTTGTAAGTACCCTGTGGAATGCATTTTATCCTTTCTTCAATCTAGCCTGGACCTACGTTTAGCCTCGATTACTGTCATGGGTCAGATATCTGTCATTCAGTCTTTCTTCCAGGGACCACTAACCTCTCACTCCATAGCAA